AAACAAGAAAGAAAGGGAGGGGGAAAGGGAAGTAACGGGGAAGAAGGAGAAAGCAAGAGAGAGAAAGAGAGGAAAAGAAGACAAGGGGTGGGGTAGGGGCCGGGGATCTTACCTGGTCCGTGTTCGCCGGAGGTCCGGTGATTTAGAGAGAGATGTGTGAATAGTTGTGGAACAGAGAAAGAGTGTCAAAAAATCAAAAATATAGGATGCATCGCATAAATATGTACTCATCTATTTTCCGAAGCACATGTTTCATGCGGTACATAGGATATATCGCACATAACTATGTACTTATCCATTTCCGAAATACATGTTTCGCGCGGTACATAGGATGTATCGCACATAAATATGTACTCATCTATTTTCTAAAACACATGTTTTGCACAATACATAGGATGTGTCGCACATAAAATGTACTTATGCATTTTTGAAACACATATTTTGTACCGTACATAGGATGTATCGCACATAAATATGTACTCTTCCATTTTCGAAACACATGTTTTGCACAACACATGGGATGTATCGCACATAAATATGTACTCTTCCATTTTCGAAACACATGTTTTGCACAACACATGGGATGTATCGCACATGTTTAAGCACATAAATATGTACTCTTCCATTTTCGAAACACATGTTTTGCACAACACATGGAATGTATCGCACATGTTTTGCACATCACATAGGATGTATCACACATATATAAATATGCCATGATACCATTTCCACCTCAAGCTATCTTTGCTCTTCTTTAGATCCCCTTCCTCACTACTACACCACTTATCACAACTATAGACAAGCTTCGTAAATATATTCAACTTCTTGTTTTCTTTGCACCCTCTGTATCCTTTTTTCCACCTTGATACTAGCTTTCTCAATTTCCTCTTCTGCTAGTCACGCAGAACTTAATTCTCAATCAAATGCATATGCTTTTGACCATATATAAGCAGAGAATAAATTCCTCTCCAAGAGGAGTTATTGAAACATGCGTAAGAAGTGGGAACAATGACTATCTTAATTCTCCTAAACCTAAACCCTTAGAATGCTGTCCTCTCTATGGTCTGGCCTGAATGGAAAGCTCGAAAACTAAGAGGGATTCCTCTTTCGTCCTTATCTTCTTATTCAGCGGAGGCTAAGCCAGGAAATGATGGGCAAATACAGCAAAAGCTCATAAATGTGGACCAGTAATTAGCAGAAGCTGAGGTTAACAGAGAAGTAGAGAGTTTCTTCTGTCCAAGCCACCACAACTTTGCTTGCTCACATGTATACTGGATCTATACTGATTCTCTAAGCAGTTTTGCTTAAAAAAATATAATCCAATAGTTTCAGATTGTTCAAATCATCTCAAAACACAAAGTAACACAACTAGATTTTATTCTCTCCTCTCATGTTTTCCTTAACAAGTTCAGTGAGAGGAAATCAAGAAGGCACTTCTAAAAATAAGTTGCATGAGTTAAACTTGAAAGCAGGGAATGATTCTACCATTCTAGTCCATAGAAATATATGTTAAAAAGCATACACGAGAGATACAGGAAGGAAGGACAAAAATTAACTGTAAGAGCTTCTGGTCATTGCTGAAAACAGCAGTCCCCATTTTAGGTAGATGTATAATTTTGAGATATCTGTTTTTTTTTATGTTATTTTATTGGTAAAGGTTTTCTATTAATGTGTAGCAAGGGACTGCAGAATATTTACATGGAAAAGCCACATTACAGATTATGCAATGAGCTAAAAAAGTCGATCTTGGGCTAGCATCTATGTCATTTGCCATTGCCATGTTACACCAAAAAGAAAAAAAGAAAAAAAAGAGAGTAAAGAAATGCAATCTGTATTTAATGCCTAATTAAATACTCAAAAGTTATTGTGTTCCTTTCTTTCCATATGATCCACCAGATTGTAGGAGGAAGTGAATTCCATGTTTTCAGCTTGTGCTTTTCCGGCCCTTTCAAATACCAGCATTGCAGTAATTCTGTAGTTGTCTCTGGCATTCCCCAGCTAACCCCTACAGTATTAAGAATGAAATGCCAAATCTTCATGGTGGAAGCGCAATGAATGAAGATGTAATTAACAACCTCGCTTTGCCTTTCAAACAAACGGCACCTGCTGCAAAAATTGATCCCTCTTTTCTGAAGTTCTCTTGGGTTAGGCATGCTTTCTGTGCCACTAGCCAGGTAAACCAGTCCACCTTCAAAGGTGCCTTGTTTCTCCAAATGCCGCTCCAAGGCCAGTTTGGAATGCTGCCAGATTCTCTTCTTAAGTGTTGAAAACAACCTCTCACCTTACATCTCCCCTTTGCATCACTTTACCAAGTAAGAGAGATAGATTTAGGCTGTAAACACTGTTGAACTCCCAGTCGTTTATGTTATGCCTAAAACTGAAAGTCTAGCCTTGCTTTGTCCAATGATCCGCGATAGTTGCATCCTGGTTTTTCCCCCTTCTGAATATCTCAGAGTTGTCATACTGAGTTACAGAATCTATCCAACCACGAGCAAAATGTTTACTATTTTACCACATGTACTGCTTACAACAGGTAAAGAAGATCAGAAAGGAAAAATGAAGATAAATGTTTAGGAAACTTAAAAATCATTATTCACATGCTTATTGTAGTTCTCAGAAGTAGCTTATACGAACTTTAATATCTTGCTGACAAACAAAAAGGGCAAAGAGTTAACTCCAATCAGGAACATCCAGTGAATCGCAACACTGCAAGTACATTAAGAAGTCCAGTCATTATATGGGTCCGCTAACTCTGCTGACTGCTATCGTTATTTATTTTGGCTGCAAATTGCCCATATATCCACCTACTGGAAGTTTGCTTAAACATATAGGAAACAGAAACTGTAAGTGTCAAAAAATCTATAGACTGAATCTGAAACAGAATAGGAATAGATTGGGAGAATAAGACACCTACAGAGTGTTTTTACTTTATGACAAGCTTCAACTCTTTGTGATCCTCAAACATGGCAAAGACAGTTTGAAATTTCAACCATTAAATACATTTACTGTTATTTTCTAATGCAGAAAATACAACACATCCCAAATGAAGATGCTGCACAAAGTTACTTTTAAGGAGATATGATATACCTAGAGTCAAAATCAACAAAGAGGAGCATAAGAAAGAAAGGATTTGAGAGTTAACATAGGAAAGGGATAAAAAGTGAGGAGACTTTTTTGTTGAAAATAAATACATGTAACGTTACAGAACGTTAGTTATTTGTGAAAAAACTTGATCGATAGATTAAGGAAAATATAAATAATCCCAAAACCCACACAATTTCAAAAAAAAAATTAAAAAGTACCTGAATTCACAAAGAAAAAAAAAACACAATGAAAATTTGTATTAGCAATGTTGAATAGATGCTACTAAAACTTACTGACCATAAACACAAGACGTGCTCTACAACCACCCCCATGAAAAGAATCAACGCCGGTCAGTAATACTCTAAAAATTACAAAGACCAAAAACAACCCTCTACCCCCTCACAGTCTCACACCGGGAAAAACAGAAGGAAAAAAAAGTACAGATTACAGACCTATGACAGAGACAAAAATATAGGTGATATCTTTCTGACTCAATTCACAACTTGAATGCAATCCTATTGCTTCCTTGTCTTAATATTAGTGAAAATAGCAAATGCAATTTGATTCATGGAAATTTTCAAATTGAAGAAAATTATGACCAAATTGAGTTTTTTATACTATGATTGGAAGATAACAAAATTTTGGTTAAGGAATTTAAGCTAGCGTTTGGCCATAGATTCCCAAATTTGTTTTGAAAAATTGATTTGGGTGAAGTTTGGTTTGAAGATGAAAATGTGTTTGGACATCAGTTTTCAAAACATATTTCACTTTTTTTTTTTTTTTTTTTAAAA